TGAGATATGAATAAGTAAATTCTTGAGTGCAATGCAGTGAAAATATTTGGGTAATTCGGAATCAAAATAAAAAATAGGTAATAGAAAATAAGCGTTAGATTATCATCTCGTCATTTTCTATTTATTACTTACCCAAAATTGTGCATTTTCACCACGATCAACCCCTTTTCTTAGTTGTCTACTTAATGATAAACCAACTTCGTATTTTTCCTTTGTCTTTCTGTCTAAATAATCTTGCAATTTTTGTATTGCCGAATTCAATTTACGTGAATCTTCTATCGATAGCATCCCTTGGGTATTCATGTTTTTTAGATAATTGATCTCTTTTTGTAATTTACTACATTTCATTATCAAATAATCTTGTCTGCTTTGTAATTTTTCTATCGAATTTACACTAGAAGTGGATTCTGTTGAAGGGATTCTACGTGGTTCGTTATTACTTGAACCACTTGCGTGTCTACTTGACGGGTTACTACGAGGAGATGAACTGCCACTAACAGACACGACACGGAATGGATTAGTACTCCTACGAGTTCCTTGTTTGTCATTGACTGAACCTTTCATATTGCTCTTAGCGACGAAAATTTGAGATGGAGGTTCGATTGGGGAGATAGTTCTATCAATTTCACCCTTTAAAACTGTTTGTTCTAATTTTGCAGTATCAATAGAAGAGGAGGTGTCATCGGATACCTCATTATCTATATTGCTATCATTTGACATATCCATACTGTTACCTGTAGATTTTTCTGATTCGATATTTTCTGGTGACTCCAATGTTCCAATTTGGGTATCAATTGGGTTATCTTCTAAAGCAGTCTTTAAAATCTCTTCATCAGCAAGATCTTCTACATCAATAGACTGCTCTTCTACAGTGCCAGGTTTGATTTCATTATCAAACTCGGGGACCTGAACTTCTTCAGTTTCATTTTTAACTATTGGTTCTTCATGTCTTGGAGAACTAACTTCATCTTCAATTGTATTTGCTTCGACTTCTTTTACAACAATCTCTTCCTTAATAGATTCTTTAATTTCAATTTCAATTTCTTCTTTACTTGGTTCCTCGTGTTCAGTAGAATCAACTTCTCCATTTTCCTCAATAATTTTTTCATTTTCTAATTTAATTCTTTGGAATTCCATTTTTGTTTCTTCAAAAACTCTATCTATAGAATCGGTAGCGCTTGCAGGGCTGATATCTATATTGTCAAATCTCTGTGTTAATTTTTGTTCTTCATTTGGACTAATGACTAAAACTTGGGGTTCAATAGTGGTTTCCATTGCTGTTTTTTCTTTAATTGATTTTAAATTGTTAGTTTCTGATGCAATTTCTGCTTCGACAATAGAACCTTGTTCATTTTCAATTTCCTTTTCATGTTCAACATGGTCTTCTTTAATATCAGCTTCTTGAGTTGTAACCTCAATCGAATCTTCATTTTCATCTACACTTTCCCAATTGTCTGAATTGTTTTCGTCAAGTTTTTTAATTGCATCTCCAGCAGGAGCATTATCAGTTGTTTCAGAAGTAATCTCCTCGTTTGGGATACTTTCATCAACTCCAGTCTTCTCTTCATTTTTCAAATCACCACCATCGTCTTCCGCAGTACTTTCTTCCACTTCTTGTTGTTGCTCTTGTTGTTGCTCTTCATTGACTAACAAATTATCATCTATCATCTGGTTCATCTGATTGATATCAATCTCGATCTGAGACAGCCTTTTCTGGATCTTTTCTTGGTCTAAACTCATTCCTATTCCTTGTACCTTACTTTTAATCTAAAACAAATATAAAACAAAAGTATCACAAATTATTGAGTTAAACCGCAGCCAACAACGAAATTAAAGGCAAACAAAAGCGATTCTTGGCAAACAATAAATATACCACTGATCGAATACCTAATATCCTTGGCAAGTATTCTCTTCCTGAACTATAAAAACTAAATTAATAACCCAAGATAGATCTATTCAATCTTTTTATTTACTATAGATGATCAGCTTTTAAAACTTCGAATTAATTCGAATCTGTTACAAATTTCGCGTTATCTATTTTAACTTGAAACGTTTAATTACACGATGATCTGTATGTGATCTCCTTAAATAACAGTAAAAAGTATGGTTATAATCCACAGTTGTACCAATACTTGATATATATATATATTTCAAATCAATTGCTCTAATTGTTCTTGATACAAATTGATTAGTTTTGTATATATTCCCTTTAAAGGCCGATTTATTGGCTATCATCATATTATTTATGTTTATATATGTGTATCTCTCTCTTGTTCTTTCAACCTTAATGGTACTAAAATTAGATGAGATCACGTGAGATTTGTTAGCACGTGAGCTCAGGGACCGGCAAGGCATCAAATAATGACAATTTAGATTTAGAAGGATGATGAATTTAGCAACTAGAGCTCATCTCTTCTAATAATCGAGCCATTGTATAAGAAAGAGGGTATCAAGAGCATTTGAATTTTGATTCTAGGGATTATTTGGATTTTATCTAGTTTGTGGTATACTGATTGTCTTGAGATTTGGGAGGAATACTTAATCAGGAAGGGTTTTTTTTTTCAAGGCAGCAACTTAGACTGAAATTAAGTCATAAGGTATAGTTGTCATATTTGAAAGGCAACGACAGTGAAATTATTATTATTATCTATATTTACTTGGTTTACTACAAATTTTTTGGGTTGGATTGGATAATTGTTGGTTAATTCTGGAAAAGAGTACGAGCCATAGAATGGATAGAGTACGAGACTTATTAGGTGGCCATCACCGGAATGGCGATGCACCTGCAATGGCCCATGATCCAACGAATGCTGATACACAAAATCCAAATCCAAATCTAAATTCGGAGTCATATGTCGATGATCAGTATACTGTGATTGAAGGGGAAAATTTTGGTTCTGATAATGCTACAATTCATACATTCGGGTCTCAGGCAACCACTATTGGCGACTTACAAAGAAATGGGTTTGTAAATAGGTGTCCAAGATTTAATTATCAAAGAAAATTACCTTTCATATCGATACTACTGACTAAAGGATTTTTTTGTTTTCCTAGTGAGAAATCATACAGAGTCTTCTTAGAAAATAAAAGGAAATTCGATTTTGTCGATGTTGAAACTGGTATGGGGATTCCCTTATACCAAGCCATTTCACAAAATGTCATGAAATCGATGTTTAGCAGAAATGATCCAGTGACTAAGATATACAAATACATATTAATAAATCCAGATACAGATCATGTACCTGAAAAAGCAGAGTTGATTGCTAAATTAAATACAGGAGAAAAAACTTCAAGAAATCTTTATAAATTTGAATTTTGTTCTGTTTATAAAGACGTAGTCGACCATTACAAACGTATAGAACATCGTTTCACTTTTTTTAGGAATGATCCAAAAAATAAGGAACCATTAATTTATACTATGGTTAATCATTTGGAAAGAAGAAATACCGATACACAATTAGATGGTTTAAATTTACAATGGTATGGTACAACTGGTTTTGCATCACCATTCGGTTCAAACAATTTCAAACTTTTGGTATTGGATGATAATATGCCATCTATGTGTGACCAGAAAACTATGGAAGATTATGACGCATATTCAAGATCTCAAAGGACTAGACCGTTAGGGCACCTACCAGTTTGGGCAAGATATTCCGACGACAATTCATATATACCCAAGAAAAGAACGCTGAGAATTGCAAATTTTGAAATAGGTGAAGTAGGGAACTCAACTCTATCAGAAAATACGTCATCTGAAGGCATATTTGATATCCCTTGGGATACTGAGGTATTGACTTGTATGGCTATGGTTTTACATATTTATGAATCAAGAAAAGATAAACGTCATGGTGCTGCAAGTGGGTTGGATGCTACTTTATTACCAACAGGATTGTTGATGTAGTTTTTTGAAATCCAAATTAGAGTAACTCAAGTTATAATTAATCGTGTATTGTAGTAGTAATTATCCTGTAGAATTGCATGTTGACTGGATTTGGCATTGGGTGTAATTTAAATAGTAACTAATAATTTTTGATAAAATTGTAAAATTAGAGTTATAAGATATCTATTTAAAGAAAATATATAGTACAAAGGTTTTAAGATTAATTCAATAATCTTTCTAGAATGTAATATTTTTAAATAAAGTTATAATAAATTAATGACTAGAGCATAAACGATATACTTTCAAAGTATATGATATTATAAAAAGATGAATAAAATGATGCAGTTGTAAATGGTAATGACAGATACCAGAAATTGAATATGATTAAACGGTAACAGTAGCGTATACTGTTCTGGTACTTGTTAAAGTAGTAGAAGCATCAACAGATTCGGAACCAGTTATATAGTAAGTACTATAGTAATCAGAGTCATAGAATATATAACATTCACCATCATCCCATTCAGTAGTATAAGCTGAGTTAGTTTCTTGAGATGAAGAAGAGGAGGTGGTAGAAATAGAAACAGAAGATGGGACTGGAGTTGCTGTTATAGTTGAAGATGCAGAAGTAGATGAGGTAGCATCAACAGTTTCAATAGCTGAGGATGTGACTTGTGGTTCGACTAAAGTAAAACTAGAAGCTGGACTTGTAGAGGTAGCAACTTCGCTTGACGATTGTTGTTGGGTTGGAACATTAGAAGTGCTGGCAAAAGAACTAGAAGGAATGGTAGAGGTAGAAGTAATAGAAGTAGTGGTAGAAACAGGAGTGGTAGAAGTAGAAGTTGTAGAGACAGGAGTAGAAATAGGGGACAAAGTTGTAGTTAAACCTGAGTTGGCAGTAATCAAGGGAGCAGTAGCTGTAACTTGATCCAAAGTACTAGTAGAAGAAGTAGTAGAAGTTTGAGTAACTTCTTCAGTAACAGAGGTAATGACATTGTTACTTAAGGTAACTTCTCTAACACGAGTAGTTGTATAATAGATAGTTTCTAAATAGACGGTGGCAGGTCTAATTGTACTAGTGATGACAGCATAACTGTATACTACACCATCGGATGTAAAAAAACGGACTTCTGCGGCAGAAGTCAAAGTGATAAATAATTGAAATAAAGAAACAATAGTTAAAGATAATTGGAAGTTCATAGTTGTAAAGTTTAAAAATAAATTGATGTAATAATGAGTGACTTTTTGGTTGGAATTCAAAAATAAAAAGTAAAAAAATAAGTTTGATAAGGAAAGACTTTAAGTTAGGAAGTGTAAAAAAAACGAAGGAATGGATTATATTCTTTTTGTAAAAAAAAGGCTATTTGTAGTTGGATAATAAAACGATTGTAAAAGATTGGATCTTGTTTTGTTTCTTATTGTAATATAAGTTATGCTGTCTAACTAGTAAAAATATCAGTCGATACAGTAGGCGGAATATTGTAAAAAAACTGGAATTAGTTTGATGGATGGTATCTTATAATTTGACAATTCCTAAGAATAGAATAACTTGAAGATAAAAGAAATATTAATTAATCCTTCAATTAAACCCACTTTATATACATCCCAAAAGTTGAAAAAAGCATAATATAAATTAATAAGCCTTTAGCTCTCAACTTCCACATATTCTTGTGTCCTAATCTCAAAATGCTTAAAATTTCAAGGAAATATTCAGATATATTACCATAATAATAATTTCTCCCTTTCCATTCCGCATACTAATGAATTTGCTGGTGTTTACTAACACCAGCAAATATGCAATTAAAGGGTTAATAATCAACAATCAACTAAATCTTTACAAGTCCCTGACCTTGGCAAAACATTATTCATTCAACCATCAATTACCGTCACCATAATAGTTCTCATTACTATAGACACTTTTTCATACACAATAAACGGATTCGCTAAGAAACGCGCGGATAACATTTCAAAGACCCAGCAAAAAAAATATGCTGGGTTGAAAATTTATCTATTGTGCGAGTGTTTCTAAGTGGTAGAATGTGTATAACCTAATGATAAATTATTGCCAAAGGTGAAGAAGAGAACCTGAAAGGTGTCAGGGACTAATCTGATGCAGATGAAGAGGAAAGTAATGAACAGGTATTTGAAAATTATTTGTTTTGTAAACAGTTGGTTTTGTTTTGTAAACAGTTGGTCTTGTTTTGTAAACAAACCACCATTAATTTAATTTAGTGTAAATAATTTTAAGGTTATTTATAAACGTGACATGCTTGAAACCTTCTATCGTTGTAAATTGTTGTTGAATTAAGGGAAATTTTTAATAAGATTGAAATATTACTAGCGGTTGCTTTTCCTGCTATTTCCGTTTCTTGCTGAAGATTGTGGTAATCTATCATAACCATAGTTTTTGTTGTACCATTTTATCATGTTTTTAGGTGCTTCGCCGAATACCATATAGTACTCACAAAATAGACACAAATTATGGTTTCCTGTCATAAGCATAGAGAAATTAGGTGCGTTTCCTACAGGTATTGACTCTTGGTCATCTTCATAATTGTAATCGTGATAATTATAATTTCTGTATTTTGAAGAAGTTGGTGGCTGTTTAGATAATGGATGTTGTGATTGCGAGTGTGTTTGGCGAGAATGATGGTGATGATATTGTCTATTATTTTGCTGATCCTGTGTTTGGTGGTGATGATGCGGACAACAGCCGTCATGCTCATATGAATCTTCATCTTCATTATATTCAATTCCATCTATATAACCTGATGTTACAGGCTCGTTGGAATAAGTAACATCAATATCTGTTTCCTCAGTAATATTTAATTCATCGCCGTTCACTACTGCATGTAGTCTTCCTCGAGAATCTCTTGGAAACCCATTCGGAAGTACAGATTCAATCATCTGTGATATACGCTCTCCAATGCCTTCGGGATTATCTGTTATTATTTCACTTCCATAGTCAAATACTATTTCTCCCTTATCTCCATCTAAATGCAATTGTGGATCAGTTATATATTCTTCAATTGAGTCGTCTTCATCCAAGGTTTTTCTTTTCATGTCTTGTACTTCAAAGTTCACAACATCACTTTCCCCATCACTCTTTATCTCAGATATCTTAACATCACCATTTCCTTCAGGATTCTGATAATTTGCTTCATCTAGGGCATCATTCACATTTTTGAAAACAAACTGCATCGAATGAGATTCGTTATCAACACTTTGTCCATCTTGTAGATGATCTGATAATATTTTAGTTAGCGCTTTAACACCTTCTTGCATCATAACATTTATCGGTAGTGGGCCGTCTTCTGAAACAACTTCAATAGAAGTCCCATTTCTTATCTGTGTTTTGGCCATCTTCAAATGTTCTTCTTGACTTTGATTAATTCTAAAATACAAATTAAACTTTAGCAGCAAATTTAATCAACTATCTAAAGTATTGATTCTTAAAGCATCGCATTTAATTATTTTAGCATCTTTAAATTTACAATTTTTGATGGTTTGATTATAGAAATCATAATATACGAAGGGTAACTATTATACTTGAGATTTGACCTTTACTGACGTTAATCCATCATTAAATAATATTTAAACTATATTTATAATTTATTTACTCAGATTATGCTGTTTCTGTTTCTTTTTTTAAAAATTTCTTTCCAGATCAGTTACGCTTTAAAGTACGTTGCTTCTCGGCGTTTTCAATAACCTTTTCATCGACGAACAAACCCTTACGTTTCCTGACCATGTTCATATGCTTACGAGCAATATTCTCTTTATCAGCAGTGTCACCTAATTCTTCCAATTCTTCTTCCGTTGTTGGAACCCAGAATGGATCTAGATCAATGCATTCAAAGCCCGCAAATACCAATTGGGGTTGAGCTGAACCGGATGTTTTCTTACGTATATCCTCACTGAAACCAAAAGCTGTAACAACTGGAATATGAGCCTCGATCTGGAAAAATGGTGTACCTTCTTTTAGTTCCTCTGATACAATTCTACCTCTTCTTTGTTGTACAACAGCATACACTTTACCTAAAACGTCTACCGATGTTTGGATATCACATGAATACATCGCCCACATCATTCTAGGAGACCAATCTAAAAATGATTCGTGAATGAAATCTCTTGTGGTTGTAATTAATCTACCGGATAGATCTAAGATATCTCTCTGGTAAGTAGAATCGTTGATATTATTCATTTCGATTTCAGTCATTTCATGAATATCTTCAATAATGATGCACATTCCTTGTACTGGCTCTTTAGCCAATGGACCTTCCTTAACCGCTAATTGAAAACCATTAATAATAGAATCAGAGAAGTCAAAAGTTCCATGTTTTGAACTGAATTCACCATTCAATAGGTTATCATTAGATAATAATATATTACAACCAATTCTATCAGGACCGAACATTACTAATTTTTCACCAAAAGCATCCCAAATATCCTTATTTTTCTCATCCTTATTGAGTTCTTCCTTCAATTTGTCCATAAATTGTTCCTTGGATAGTAGTAAATCATCAGAGATATCTTTACTACCTTTTAAAAATGATTTGATTTCATCACTATGACCATCTAAAAAGGCAGTAATGGAATCTAGCATTGGTAAAGTTCTTATTCTAAGTTTGTATTTTCCCAATAAGTATTCAGTTACACCTCTACCCAATATAGGATTCTTCATTGGGTTCATATCACTATTTGATAAAAATGTTTCCCTATATGGAATTGCTGGTTCTGAACATGTCACATCAATACCGGCAAACCTTTCCTTCAAATCTTTAATACATCTTTCCAAGTGCAATTCACCTGCTGTACATAAAATATGTTCACCATTATTTTCAACATATGTTTGAACACATGGGTCTGCTTGTTCTAATAATTTTAAACCTCTTACTAACTTATTCATTTGCATTGGATTGGTTGGTTCAATCGCAACACGTACAATTGGTTGGGCTTGGAAATGAACACTTGCTAGATTAGCACCTTGGATACCAGGTTGGACCAAAGTACCGTTCTTTAAAATCTTACCTGCTAGACCACCAATACCAACAATATTACCTGCAGGACAACTTTCTAATGGGACTAATTCTTTTCCCATAAATAAGTAAAGGTCAGAAATCACCGCCGATTGAATATGTTCGTTAGGTTTCGATGGGTTGTATTTTGGACCTAATACAGATATTGTTTGTCCAACGTTAATGGTACCACTGTATATTCTTGTAAACCCAATCAAAACCTCCTCTGTTTCATCAAATATATCTTCTTCTTCTTCTTCTTCTTCTTCTTCTTCTTCTTCTTCTTCTTCTTCTTCTTCTTCTTCTTCTTCTTCCTCCATCATATTAGCATCGGTATCATTTGAAGCAAACGGATCCTCCTCTTCATATTCAAACATAGATGCTAACGGATCATTAGGATCAATATCTGTTGGAACAAATTCTGGGACAATACCATCTTCATCTTCTTCGTCTTCAGGTTCCTCGTATTCAAACTCTAAATCAAATGGTGCAGCTGCTTCAGTAACAATTTGAAAGGAATCTTTTGCAGTTTTTCCTGAGGGTTTTTTACCTGACAAATCCACTTCAGGAGTTATTACAGTGTCTTTAGCCCTTGTATATAAACTATCATCTTCGGATCCATTTTGATTACCTTCGATATTAAGTTTTGACATATTTTCCATTAATTCTGCCTGTTGTGCCGCTTTTAATGCAGCTTCACGAGCTTTTCTACTTTTTTCCATTATTTCATTTGCTGAAAGTTCTGCTGAACTTTTGAGAGGTAATTCTTCCCTTGGAATGGATAAGATTTTAGATACATAAGCAGAAACAGGGCCATTTCTATCACAGTTTTTCATTGCTTCCAGAAGCTCAGGCTCTGCTTCTGACGATTCTACCGTTGACCCCAATATTGTATCCAATCTCTCGGCTTGAGATCCTAAAGGAGATGGTAATTTTTCAATGACAGTAATTAAAACAGCTGTGCTCACAGGTAGCCACTGTCCAAGGACAGTTTTTAAAAGTTGTTTATCATCTTTCGATCTTAAATCACGAGGTAATATCTTTAAACCTAATGTATTAGTAATTTTTTCAATCATCTCAGTATTTCTTTCTATAACAATATTTTCGTAAATTTTCCAAATACTATCTAAAACCAGCGAAACAAACAATGGCTTCAATGATCTACCTTTTAATCCTTTACCATTGATAATTTTCTTTGTTTTAGGATCCATATAGAAATCACCCCAAAGAACTTTTTGTAAATTTGATCTATTAGCTCCAAGTTTTGATTCATAGAATTTTGCCATTTGGCCAATATTAAAACCCCAACCATCGATGGCAGATGCAAAAATAACGTTATTCTTTGAAGGATCAAAGTAAATATCGGAATCATCCTTTTCGATAAACTCAGCATATTCATTTTCTTTCAATTGTTCTCTCCAAGAGTAATCATCTAGTTGTCTCTGACCTGCAAAAAAGGATCCAATAACTGAGTTAACTTGCTCGATGATTTTACTCATATGTATATAGGCTTCTTGAGGAGTTAGTTTTAATTCAGTAATTAGCCTATCAATTTTATTTAAAACTAAAATTGGTTTCAGTTTTTCAGTCCAACATTGACGCAAGACAGTAACAGTTTGAGAACAAACACCTTCAACTACGTCCACCAAAACTACAGCACCATCACATAATCTTGAAGCTGCACTGACTTCACTAGAAAAATCAATATGGCCAGGAGAATCAATTAAATTGATTAAATGTTCATCTACAAGAGGCTCATCAGAATTTTCTTGTTTATGTAAAACTCTAAAGTATAATGAAATAGCAGAAGATTCCATTGTAATACCACGTAATTGTTCATCAGGTCTTGAATCCAAAAAACGAACTTTACCTGCTAATCTTTGCGAGATAATACCATTAGATGCTAACAATGAATCGGATAATGATGTTTTACCATGGTCTACATGAGCCACTATACATATATTTCTAATACATGAAGGATCATTTTGTAATCGTTTAAAGGTGTCAGCACTAACCCTTGGCATTTCTAATTCATAAATTTCGAAGATCGATATATTGGTACTATCAATCTACCAAAAATGAATATATGTATTATTATATTATATGGGTTTCTTATACTTTTACTTTTAACTTCCAATCCCTAGTTCTTAATCTCGATGAGATTAAAATATGATTAATTAATATTTAATTCTTAATGAAAAATTTTGAAATGTTCCTTCAAAACTAGCGTAGGAACGTATAAATTGAACAAAAAAAATCGATGAGATAAAAGATATGTTAATACTCTTAGTTAGTATAAAGTCTGAAGTTTTGGTTGAAGAGGTTGTTAAATAAAGGCAATAGATCATCGACAATGGGTAATGATGAGATAGGTGATTTAAAAGTTGATGAGACTATCGGAAATTTGGGAAAGAACCCAAAATCTTGTCCTGAATGCAATGAAAACCTACAGAAATGTCTGATTCAACAGAATTACTCTATGGTGATATGTCCAAATCCTAAGTGTGTATATCCATTTAATCAAAAGGAAAATATAGAGGGTATGAATTTTGTTGAAGAGAATGAAGTTTTAGAATTTGCTAAACAGAGGCTGTCTAACGGGAAATGAACTGAAAGGGAATTTAAGTTCACAAATGTATAAAGTTAGATGGATGGATGGATTCATTATGCAGGATTAGATTTTTAAGCATAAGAAATTGAAACCCATAGGTATACTAAAAAAACTGACCTTTTTTAATAAAATATGTATAAGTATATATTTGTATGAATGCAATTATCAATTATATGCGACATTACCGTCTTTATTCACACTGACGCTAAATTCCAGATCATCGTCAGTGGTCATATCCCAAGTTTTATATACCATCATTAAGGTGAAGACATTACACAAGCTGCCAAAGAATAAACCATCTAGATAATGCTTAACACCTTCACAAATTTGTACTGAGAATCCATAAACCAATACTTGACCAACTATAAAAAAGAAAAGTCCCAAAAATACTGAGCCTGTGACCCATAAGTTACGTACAACTAATAGTGACACTAATAGTTGACATATTGTATAAATTAACAATGCAATACCATTTATAACGTAAACTATTACGAAAATTGCGGTAGTATTCATTGATGCTATTTTGTCGTCTTGAATCCATGACTTAAATGTTAAAATTGAAGATAAGAAACTCATTATGAATCCGATTGCGGAGAATCCTCGTACTATTACCATTGATTTTACAGTACCATCTTCCCATAGATTAAAACTTAAAAATCCATTAATTAACAAAGTCCAACAACAAGAGCCTGCAACACCTAGATGTATTGCCACTAAATATGGATATGAATCTGAACCAGGAGGAGAAACACCACAATTTACTACTAAAGTTAATATGATATAAAGCAGGATTAATTGAAAAAAGTACAAATATTCAGATCTCCCAATAGCGGTATATTTTTGCCTTATATTATAGATAATGATTAAAATGACACCTAAGGCACCAATATTTATGAATGCATTACCAATGCCAAATATCATTGTATTAGCTAATTCTATTGGTCTGGCGTAACATCTTGGAAGGATTCCTACCCTGAAATTTTGTGGATTAAAGTTATCGATAACCGTTGAATTTGAAAGTACCAAATGTTTTGTTGATTTAACTACAGAACATAGTGGCAATGGAGTTTTGGAACAAACGGCTGCAAAATCTTTTATTGTCATCACCTTCAATGCAATTTAAGAATATATAGATATAGCAGAAAGCTGGGAAAAAAATTGACTAGAGAAAAGAGTGGAGCAGAATCTGTTTTTCGAAGCCAATATATGTATATATGTGTCTATACTCCTTAAGAATTTTATTAAATAGTAACAGCAAAATACTATCTTGTATCACTTAATGAAATATATTTCTGCCCCTATAAAATTGACACTTATAGATTAAAATTATTACTACTTACTGTCTTGCTTTGATATTAGATATACTAAAATTATCTATAGTAAGAGTGCGGTGTGTCGTGCTGATGTGTAGACAACTGTAAACTTTATTCGAATCAAATTATAACCTTGATGAGATTCGAATAAGCTTGATAAAAAGTTTGTGAAATTCGATAGTAATTTACAAATTACCTTATTAGGACATTAAATCGTTGTGCCTGATCGGGTAACCAGCCGTTTTAGATTTTAAACACCAAAAAAATGCTATCTGTATCCACAGAATAATGCAAGGGATTAATAGTAAAGATGATAACGAGTATTATTATTATTGTAGACTAACACAATAATAGAAGATAATATATTCGTTTGCTCAAACTATAGATGTATGTGCACATAACAAACAGATTCACATCTTACTAAAAATATCATTTACCTCTAAATTATAAATAGTAATTGACACTAGTGTTGTTTGTACTAGCAAGATTTAAAGAATAGAAAGACAGACACAGACACGCGAGACACGACAAAAAAAACTTCACCTGATTTCATTTCCAGTCTTCATATCATTGTTCTGAAACGAGAAACACTGTTGGGATTCAAACATGACTGTTCCATATTTTGCATCCGTACATTATGAAACATTTATCCCGTATTCATCCAAACCTTTTTTGTCTTTTTATTATTATTAATTCCCTCTTCGGAAACGGAAAAGTTCGCAAAAAGCAAGTCGAAACACGAACCGTAACTTTCTTTGTGTTTTTGCGTGCATCTTTAGTTTGTTATTTTTCGTTTTCGGAAGAGCGTGCCATTTGGAAGAAAAACCAAGGTAATTTCTACCATAGGCTTAACTAGCAATGCACGGTTAAGCAGACGGGCATCACCTTCAATTTCAATTGATTTTTCATTTGTCTTCTTTCTTTCCTTCTACAAGACCTGATTCCCCCTTCCCTCCCTGAACAAGACCTTGATCCTTCCAAGAATACTTCTCCTTCTAGCATCAATCAACTAGTTGCCTCTCCAGAAGGAAAACCTAAATGCCTAGCCGTAACCTTTCTTCCTAAACCAACTCAAAGATTGAACTTTCCTTCTGTGTCTCTGCCTAAAATTCCCCACTAAGCATTATGATTTCTCTCTAATTAACTCGGCTGGCCTAGGCTGGGCTACCAATTGGAATGTTATTATTATGAATCGGACAGTAAAACACCGTACTGTCAGTGAAATTTTGAAAAATTTCATGCTCATCGAAAATATGTTCAGCCAACAAGTTGCAAGCATCACTCTCACTGGGATCCAATAGTAAAATATCATCAAACTTAGTGAAACTAAAGGATTCAGTTTTCTATTCTAGATGATGTGTTACACACATACATTCACACATACACACACATATTCACATAGGCTTACACACTTTGTAACCTATCCAGCTGTAAAATTTGGACTTCCTTTGTATTGTAGTTTGATCAATCAGTTGAAACCATTGGTATTGTTTGTTTCAGCAAATTGGTTCAACCTTAGAGTTTGTCAATTGTGAAGTTACTTTGGTTTACCATCATCATCATGTATTATCTTAGTATTGTAAAAGAAGTTAAAAAAATCTAAACCTTATATATTAACGTCGAATTCTGTATTGTGCTTTGAAATTGTATTCAAATACAAGAACTACACCAACTAGAACAATAATTCGCAATGGGTATGTTAATTTATGGTTAATGCAGAGCTACTATGGAATAAACTGATTGAAGAATAGATGATATAATGCAAACGTGATATAAATGAAGAGATACAATGAATATTTGAATATGAAATATATATTTGGAAGAGCAGTACATGGCATGAAACTTTCATAACTTGGATATTTAACAGGGCAGAAGTATCTCATCCATACTATAGTAGTAAGAGAGGACTATGATATTTATAAATTTGGATAGAAACCACTTTATGTTTCAAGCATTAATATATTATGAAATAGATATATCTATATTTCTATTGAGTTTTGGAATGACGAAGTTTATTTCTATACTATTATCTTACTTCTGTCATTGTCGATCAGTATTTACAAGTGTCGAATTAAATTTAGTAATCATTTTCAAATATTTGGCACGATATAAAATCTCAACTTCAATCTATTCCTGTGGTTTGGTTTTTTTGAATTAGATATAAAAATTCAAGATAAGAATAAATATACTAACATAACGTTTAATGATGTTGTAATGACATTATAAAATACTTTATTTCTGTTTAGTTAACGTTCCAAAGACCAGAAAGACCTACTGTAAGGGTAGAGAGTGTAGAAAACACACTCAACACAAGGTTACCCAATACAAAGCTGGTAAGGCTTCTTTGTTTGCTCAAGGTAAGAGACGTTATGACCGTAAACAAGCTGGTTTCGGTGGTCAAACTAAGCCAGTTTTCCACAAGAAAGCTAAGACTACCAAGAAGGTCGTTTTGAGATTGGAATGTGTCAACTGTAAGACCAAGGCTCAATTGACTTTGAAGAGATGTAAGCACTTCGAATTAGGTGGTGAAAAGAAGCAAAAGGGTCAAGCTTTGCAATTTTAAACTTAGTTATCTTAGGTGTATTCAATATTTCTATAACTTTTATGTTCATTCCTAATATAATCTAATTTTAACGCTTAAATAAAATTTTTAAAATAAAAAATTGCACTCTATTCTATATACACTTTTAATCTTTATAACAATTACTTAGAATGTATAATTCACAAGAATAGTATCAAGATAAATAATATCGATTGAAAGAATACTTACTTGTTATTCAAAAGTTAACCGTCTTCTTAAACTCCTACTTTTTTGGCGTTCTGGTATCTGAAATATTCACTAATAACAAATTTTGTCCTTTTCGGTCAATTTCAATATGCGAATAAATAAATATATTGAAAAATAAATGTATATAACAGAATATGTAGTCAAATTTAAAAATAATAAATTGTACAATATATATAAGTATATCTAGATAGGGAGCTTTATAAGGTTGTAGAATAATAGAATATAGGAGATATTTGTATTAATTTGAATATTCTCTGGATCTGTTTACTTCTTCCTGCTGAAATTTTGCTTTGTTTGTGAATTTGGCTTGATTTATAAGTTGGTCAGTTACAGATTAAAGTCAGATATTTTATTATTGATCCCATTAATTTATAAAAATTAAATTGATTCAGGTTTAGTTTTGAATTTTTGGTTGAAATTTATTTTATATCTTTCGTTCCACATAATAAACTTATATTTGAATTTGTGTGAGAATTTCAAGTTCATCTTTTATTTTTATTATTTCTATTATTTTTTTGATCTCACCTGTATTTACATTTTTGTTTAAATTAATATTCAAAGACAATGTATAATCAATACGGTTCTCCTAGCTCAAATCATCAGGAAATATTTCCTAATCAAAATGGTGATATGAATGGGTATCAACAAATGTCGAGGCCTCCCAATGCTGCCTTCAGTAATAATTATCTAAGACAACAGAACTCTCATCAATCATTACAAGATCATTTGCAAAGGGAACAACAACAGCAACAACAATTGCAGCAAGGCACTCTACCAAGCGGTTTCACAGATGTACCATCATTGAATTACCCTTCAACTCCACCAGCTGCAAACTATATTCAACATCAAAACACAACCCCTACTCAACCACCAGCCATCTCTAATATGTACGCTCATAATAATAATTCAAATGGGTATCTACAAAATGGTAGTGCTGGAGCTGCTGGAATGACACAACCACAGTTTTCACCAGGAAATTACTCCTTAAGTTCAGATTACGGACCTGTTCCTAATAATGCTGCAAGATCAGGTAGTCCATTCCAACAACCACAACAGTTATTTAATGAAAATCAACTATCACCTCAAAGTCCTATTAAAAGCATTTTAAGCACGCATTCTGATTCACAATCATTGCATCAAGTACAATACGCGGACAAGATCTCCCCAATTACAAATAACAACAATAACAATGTTCCTAGTATGAACAACAATATAAATAATAATCACGACTTAACCACTCAAGGTTCAACAGGTAATGCATACATGTATTTTGAAAGAAGACCAGATTTATTGACTAAATCTACTCAAGATAGAGCTGCTGCTGTGAAATTGAAGATAGAGAATTTTTACCAATCATCTGTTAAATATGCTATTGAAAGAAATCAAAGACGTGTCGAGTTGGAAACTGAATTGACTTCTCATGACTGGTCAGATGAACGTAAATCAAGACAACTTGCATCGTTAGGTAAAAAGGAATCCCAATTTTTAAGACTACGTAGAACCAGGTTATCATTAGATGATTTCCAAACCGTCAAAGTCATCGGTAAAGGTGCCTTCGGTGAAGTTAGATTAGTCCAAAAAATTGATACCGGTAAGATATATGCCATGAAGACATTATTGAAATCAGAAATGTATAAAAAGGATCAATTAGCACATGTGAAAGCAGAAAGAGATGTTTTAGCTGGTAGTGATTCTCCTTGGGTGGTATCATTGTATTATTCGTTCCAAGATGCTCAATATCTATATTTGATTATGGAATTTCTGCCTGGTGGTGATCTGATGACTATGTTAATTAGATGGCAAATTTTCACAGAAGACGTGACAAGGTTTCTATATGGCGGAATGTATTTTAGCTATAGAAAGCCATTCATAAATTGGGATTTATTCATAGAGATATTAAGCCAGATAATATCTTAATTGACATAAGGGGGCATATAAAACTATCAGATTTTGGTTTGTCTACCGGTTTCCATAAAACTCACGACTCTAATTATTACAAGAAATTGTTACAAGAAGATGAGGCAACAGGACTAGGTAAGCCAGGCCAAGGTAATGGAAATGAAAATGGGGACAGTAATAGACAATCGATGTTTGCGGATTCTATTAACTTGACGATGTCTAACAGACAGCAAATTCAAACTTGGAGAAAATCACGTCGTTTAATGGCTTATTCTACAGTCGGTACTCCTGATTACATCGCACCAGAAATTTTCTTATATCAAGGGTACGGTCAAGAATGTGATTGGTGGTCTTTGGGTGCAATTATGTATGAATGTTTAATTGGTTGGCCGCCATTTTGTTCTGAGACTCCACAAGAAACTTATCGTAAGATCATGAATTTTGAACAAACTTTACAATTTCCAGATGATATCCATATTTCATATGAAGCTGAAGATTTGATCCGTAGGTTATTAACACATGCTGATCAAAGACTTGGTAGACATGGTGGCGCTGCAGAGATCAAAAGTCATCCATTTTTCCGTGGTGTTGATTGGAACACGATAAGGCAAGTTGAAGCACCATATATTCCAAAGCTAAGCTCAATAACTGATACGAGGTTCTTCCCAACCGATGAATTAGAGAATGTACCGGATTCACCTGCTATGGCGCAAGCAGCCAAGCAAAGAGAACAAATGATGAAACAAGGTGGTGTCGGTGCCAACAAGCCACCAGCAAAAGAGGACCTTCCATTTATCGGTTACACATATTCCAGATTTGACTATCTGACAAGAAAGAATGCATTATAAGGGACATCCAAATTAAAAAGAGAAATACAAAAGAATCGTAATTACAATAACAATAATAATAACAGTAATAAAAATTACTTCGAAAGGATTTAAGTAGATATGTACACTAGTTTAGAATTTAATGTACGGTGTATATAAGTTTAATATATCCACATATATCAAGTAGTTACTTTAAACCCAAGTAGAAATATCATACTTACATACTTTAGAGGTATACATGATTGCTACGATACTTCCAAATATTGATAGGAAGAAAAATACAAGATATTTAAATTAGTTGAAGATATAGATACAGCTGATTCCCAATGCCTCAACCCATACAATATGGTCAGCACCAGGCGCCCAGCAACGTTCTTATTTGATCTACGCTTAACAGTACCAAACCAAGAGGAACCTTGAAACAAAATCGAGTTCATCTCCTGAAACTCATAAGAAGTGAGATCAGTTAAATTGGTAGTGCATCTGCGATATAAAAATGATGTTGGGGATCTGTAAAAAAAATTAGAATTAAATTAAACCATTTTAGAATCCTTAATATTAGTTAATTTTAAACAATATCATCAATTGCTGTGTGTAGTTCCCTTTTATAGTTGAGTTATTGATTGGGAGAAGTATGAACTTTTTGAAAATTTTCACTTTTAGGTTTTCACAAGGGCCGGGTAATTGAATCTCATAAAATAAATTTGTATCTAGACATTCGGCTAAGGTTAGGGTTTATTAAATATAAACCTTTGATGACAGGATTGCTAGAAAAGAGATAGCGTTTTTGTTGTAATTCAATTAAATGTGGGTGGGAGTAAGCAATTTCAGTTGCAATATTCAATATTAAAATACATAATTATTACCTTATAAAGGTATCTAAAAAATACATATATAAAGAAGGAGAAAAAAAATAAGGGTAAAGAAAACTTAAATTAGACATCATGAAAGTAATAATGGATGAGGGGAATTTACAGTGGTATGCTGGAATATATTATATGCATAACATTTTATTTTTTTGGTGTTTTATTTTATATTTATTTCCTACTATTTCTTGTTTAAGTTTGCATGTAACTTGCTCCAATGAAAAAATAAAATAAAAAGTGGGTATGGTGAAAAATCTGACACATACTGCATAAGGGCGGGAGAAAACGATCAAAATGAAATAAAAATATTATAATAGAACTTTACAATCAATTGACCTTTTGTTTTGGAGTGGTAGTCTTCGGAGGGAATTTTTGGTACATCCAAAAGAGTACCCAAGTGAATGAGGTCAATGATAGGAAAGTTAAGCTTCTGTAAGGTTCAGCGACACCTAAGAAAGGGTAAGGGAAAGCCTGACCTTTTGATAAATCGATCAAATAGTATAGCCATCTGTTATAGCCTACACCTAGGACGGTTACCATTAACCAAGCTCTTTGATTTGTAATTTCGAATCTTGAACCATAACCAGTGAAGTAATGATCTGAAAATAAGAAAATGGTTGGGAATAAATGAATTGCTAAATCTACTGAGATTGGGATTGGATTACGAATATTGTCAGGAACGTCTTGCATAATTAAATGTCTTGCAAATAGTCGCAAAGGCCAATAAACGACGGGCACCAAAGTCTCCATTACTAAAGCAATTGGTAGAAATACATGTCTTGAAAAATGGTTAAATTTTTGTTTAAAATGGTTACTGAAAACTTCGATATCTCTTTGAACAAAATAATTTGTGGCGTTGACTATACTGCAAATTAGAGTTGCAATAACTGAAATATTTGTTAGAAACTGTTTATGGCCAGCATCTCTTAAACTTGCAGGTAATTTAATTTGGGTACCTTGATTCAAACCCCATCCTACAATTAGGATAGATAAATTATTTAAAATTAAAGATGAAATTGGAGGTAATGTACGTACTGGCATTTCAATTATTATCTTGTGAAATTGTAAAAAATATAAAATGAAATAGGACGACTATAAAACAACAACAAAGAAAGATAACTAAAGTAAGGAACACTACACTTAATTTATGGAACCTTTCTTAAAGACACGACAAAACACAAAAAAACTAGAACTAAAAATTAAAATGAAAAAGAGTGCTCTTTCTTGTCCTGTTGCTTGAATTGAATTGAGTTGAATTGAATGAAATCCTTCAAAAAAATATTTAATGCCTGTCTTTTATTTGAAAGAGTAATAATAACAAATCGCTATGATAGAGAAGTACACTTTAATGAATAAACAAATCAATTAATTATAGAACAAAAATGAAGAATACGAAATAGAGAGGGAGAGAGACTAGACTGGTTGTAAACCTAAAACCTCAATCATGATGAATCAAGTTAACCTTTATATGTTCCAAAATATTTTGTAAAGGTTGGAGGAAGAAAGAGGAGGGGAGGATGGGGATGGGGGATGATAGGGAGCATGTCATTAAAGTATATTTGATTGATAATAAGAAAGTTAAGTGAAGTTAAGGTATAACAGGTGAATAAACTGACGTTTGTAGTCACATATTGGTGAAGAAGAATATGTGACTATTGATGATTGATGATTGATTCCTTTCCTTTCCTTTCCTTTCCTTTACTTTTTCCTTCTTGGATGGATGGTTCCTGTTGATGATATCTGGGGGGACCTGTGGCGGGTAACAGTTTTTGAGCCGGAGAGGCACCTTAGGAAACGTAAAATCAGGGGAAGCACATCCGCGGAATCCCCTTATTTCTTTGTTCTTTGTTCTTATTGTGGTTATTGCCATTCTCTTGGGTAACCCCTAATTCACTATGGGTAACTAATGACGAGCAGGTAAGGCTGCCGGGGTGGAAACTGGACGAATGTTAAGGACGGTCGATGGTCGATGGTTTGGGATGCTGATGATGTCAAGTGATTTGATTTGGAAGTGATGTCTAAGAGTGAAAGTGAAAGTGAAAGTGAAAGTGAAAGTGAAAGTGAAAGTGTCTTGTCATATTGGGGAGCTAATGCTAATGCAGTGCAAACGGATGGTAATTCTTGTTATTTTGAATTGAATTGACTCGGCTGTTGTGATATGATATGATATGATGTGATACAATTTGATCTGGTTCCTGTGTTCTCTCCGACTTGTTCTCCAAGCGACGGACAGGTGAGGTACTGGAAATAATATTAAGGTACTCTTTTCACCGTGCCGTCATTCTCCAATGCAAGAAAAATTTAAATTCAAGGTTGGGATGGGATAGAGAGACTCATCATCACATGGAAACGAAGGGATGAGATGAGGGAAAAGTCTGGTTTAATGTTCACGATCTTA